TTTTTTTGGTTTTTGATGTTTGCTGCTTCCAAAAAGAAAATAATAAAATTATGTCAAACAGCTGATTGTCATTTAACACTGAACACACCAAAACTAAGAAAACGAACTTACCTAACAGAGTTGCATTGAAGTTTTTACTAGAATAAACATTCAATTAATTACCAATCGAGCAATTAATAATTGAAATTTTGTATGGCAAATCGATCTTAATTAGTGCATTAATTGAGAAAGCTTGGATAATTGCTCGATTAACTGCCTGTCTGAAAATAGTATTAAGCTTGCGAAGGCATAAGACGTGTGCGCACAATAATACTTTGCACAGTATATACAGTAATAAATTTTTTTGAGTACTCCTCGGGAGTAAAATCTGATCAGGGTTGTTAATGAGAAGGAGCATGAATTTTGTTGATTCAGAAAATTACTGTGGTATGAAAGGGAGCAACAACCGTACTATGGCAGAGTGGCACAAGTCATGACTGTGTAATAGTGCCCGAAACTAATTGCAAAAGTGGAAAACATTGCAAATTATTGTCTATTATTATAGATACTAGTACAGATTATCATAGTTCAGTGTATAATTTGTTATATTACACCGTACATGATAATGAACTGTTGGGTGTACTAAATGGACTGTCTGGGCGGATGCGCTGGCAGGCGTTGGGGTCTGTATAGCTATACAAACCTTGTTTTTTTTCTTGAGCTAAAGACTTAAATGTATTCGGAAATTTAGAATTTGGCTTGATAAATTCACAAAATTTACGTTTTTCATAAAAATATAATCTTATAATGGACTTTTTTTTATTTTAAACTTACATTTAAGAAAACTCCATTCAATGCTATAATTACGATTTGAGTTTTCCAGTTTATAAAACACAAGCGTTAATTATGTACTTAACTATTGATATTATTTTTCATTATGCATGGATATCAGCATACATTAAAGATGAATATTATACTTAACCTACATTTTGTTCATAAATAACACGTAATTATGTACATTTTATCCTCGAAATGAACTATTTCTAATCATGAGGCGAAATTCGCCACAGTGTGTTGCCGTGCGCGCGAAACGAAAGCGCTGCACACAACCCAAAAGTACTCCTCGGGAACCAAATGGTGAAAAACTGCGAAAAGGTTTATTACTGTATATACTGTGATACTTTGGGCAACACGCCGAGCATAAGCAAAGGCTAAAAAGTTCATAAAGTATATGTGTACTGCGTTTTGTTTGTATATTCGAGAAGACAACAAATACTCTATGTACAAAAAGTGTGCCTGACCGATAGAGTTGCTAGTAGGGATGTGCCGGGTATGCGGTAGATATCCGGAATCCGGCCTATCCGGCCGTTGTTTGGTTATCTGGTTATCCGGCCGGATACTGGCTAATATCCGGCCGGATTCCGGATATCGAATATAGAAGATTCAATTTAGAAATTTAACTCAGATTTTGTGTTTTTGTAATCCAATTTAATAGTATCTAATTAGTAATCAAAGTTAACAATTTGTATATTTTTCATTATGAAAAGCATTTCCGCATTATCGGGCAACAACCTATTTCTATTTTCAACATAAATGTTACCCGATGCACTAAATACTCTTTCCAAGTTCACTGAGGAAGGTGGCGCGCAGAGATACTTCATTGCCAGTGTAAACAAATTTGGAAATGCTTTGCGGCTATACTTCCACCAAGTTAAGGGATCTTCATGTCTGGATATAAGAGGTAGCTGCAAATATTTCTCTATTTCTAGTTCATAAATCGCTGCCTTTTTCTTGTACGTTCGCTGCCTTGTCTACCAATCGTTTGGCTATGCATATTACTAGAAACACTAGAATCAGCATCAGAGTCATTGGCGATTTCCTCAAAGCATTGCCAAATATCCTCGTGAGCTCGATCTTCGATGGAAGCTTTCACTATAGTAGTTATATGATTCAACTGGTTTCTCCATGCTAACTGATTTATAATTTCGAACTAGTTTATCAACAACCCAGTTTTTAGCTTTATTGGCGTCAGAAAAAAAAACGAGTTTTGAAACGTGGGTCACAAAATGTTGCAATAGTGAAGCATTGTCGTTGTTGAATGTTTAGTCCTATAATCAAGTAAATTTTTTTATTAATAGTTCTATAAATACTTTTGATAAGTGAATCGCAATTTCATACCTTTTGTTGATAAGAATCTGTCTTGCAATGATTTTTTCAATTCAGTTTTAAATTTTTGAAGACCACTGTCATTGCATCTCTTTAGCAAAAAAGAATTCAGTGTAGCTACTGCAGGAATTACATAAGCAATTGACTCTTTGTCCAAATTGGCTTGCTTTGTCATTTCTTCAAATGGCTTTAAAACATGTATTATATTTTCGACCACATTGTTGTTGTATTTGCGTGCAAAGTTCCCGATTTTTTCCCAAGAAAATACAGCTTGAGTTGCGACAGTTGCATTGACTTCAGTTTATCAGGTTTATTCAGTGAAATCGCTGTATAAATTTATCAGAAATGTGTAAACAAGTTTCCATACAAATTTTGACAGTTCATTTATAAAGTTTACACGATTATAAGTTTATACGGTTTACATTGCTTTCATCAAATTTGATAGTCGTTTGGCATGTGCTGTGGACCGTGTAAAGTGCTGTTTGATCAAATTGATAACCAAAGTGAAAGAACAAGTGCCAGATAATTTAAATAAAAAGAAGAAATGAGCAAGAAAAGAAAATAATTCGACTTCATTTTAGAACTAATAAATTATTTCAAAAATCTCCAAAACCTTTTTTGTGGTGATACAACTTCAACAAAAACTGAAATTTTATGGGTTTTTGACGTGTGTAAGTCAAACCATCTAATTACACAGACATATCTGTGCACAATAATTTAAATAAAAACACATAATTGAACAAGGAGAAAGTATACGAGGCGGGTTCTGTTTAATTTAAACAAAAATTAACGTAAGAAAACAAACATCTTGATTGTTCAACAGCAAAGAATTTGATGAAGATTGTTTTTTGTTTGTTTATAAGATGCCATTTTTCACTGCGATAGCATCGCACAGATGTGTGCGGAATTGTGTTTTCGAAGTGGTAAATTCTGTAGCATCAGAAACGGTGCGGAGGTCGAGGTGAACTCGAGCCGGCAAAAAAACAATATTGTGAAATTTATTAAGGGCAGCAGTCTACCGGATATCCGATCGGATATCCGAATCCGGCTGTTATTTTTTACAGGATATCCGGAATCCGGTTATCCGGTAAAATCTATATCTGGCACATCCCTAGTTGCTAGTGGAGTTGCGCGCACAATATTCCTTTGGGCAGCATTCCTTTTTTTCCTCGTCCACATGAGCTACGAACTACGCTCGTCGAGCAACTCACGCGTTCTACTGATATCCCACGTGGAGCCCCAACCAGCGACCGCACACAAGTGTTTCAACGTTCGATAAAAACAAACGCACTCACGATAGGCAAATTTCTTCTTGCGTCACGTCATTGAACTCGGTACGCTGGCGCAAAAGCCTTTTCGTCAAGGTACGCATGCTCTATCGCACGTATATATATGCATACATTTTTTAAGCTCCTTTCCCATGCCCTCAATCCAATTTCTTTAAACTATAATTCTATAAACTCTCACATTAATTAATTTACATATGTACATACTTACGTGCATACTAAACTCGCAAATAATGGCAGCCTCCCACTTTCAATTTAATTTTTGGCAATTGCATCTGCTTTAATACGCAAAGTGTACTTCATCCACGCATCGCTCTCCCGCTCTTTTATTTTTTTTGTTTACCTTTACTCCAGCTCACCATCCCGTGTGAAGGAAAGGTATATACACAAGTATACATATGTACATACATACATATAATATGCTTTCATATTTTCCCACTGTCTCTCCTATCCAATTGGAATTGGCAATATGTATGTTATTATAAATGTGCGTTCTTAATACACCACGCACTCCCATCCATGATACAATAATTTTTAGAAGGTAGTTTCACTTCTTCTTCTTATCCGCCATGTTAGCTATCTGACAGAAAACGTGTTTCGTATTTTTTGTTGTACCAACTTTTTCAAAAAAAAATCCACCTTTTGACGTTGGAAAAATAAATAATAATTTTCGAATATTTTTAAATATTTTTCTTCATAAAAAGTTAACTGCTGCTTTCGTGGATATTGCACCACACGGAATAGGTGTAATGATACAGCTATAAGAGCCACCGCATACCACAGAGTTTATCGGCCGCCTATTTAGATAATAGGGCTCGCTTGAAATATGTACATGAAGATGTATGGAGGTGCGC